TCCTCTACGTTTTACTATTCAGTCTATTTTATTGGTTTTACATTTTTTTTTTTTTTTAAGTTTATAATTGTTTATGTTTAGTTATCTTTTGTGCTTGTTTGACAACTAAAGTGATCAGCATGATGGAGAAGACGTACGAGACAATAATATAGCAAACAATTCTCCATTTCTTATTTACTTCTTCTTTTTTTTTTATTTTAGTCGTAATGACGATATATGATATTGCAGTTTTGCATACGTCAACGTATAAACGTATATTTGATATTTGATGATATTAACAAAATCATCAGACTTTCAGGCGTCTCGTAATGTAAGCACATATGACACGTTTTTGTAAGATTATTGTATCATATGAGTAGTCATTGACAGTACAATAGATGAGAGTGAGAATTTAAGGAACCCTGATATGTCCGCACGGTACGCCGATTTGCTATAACAATGTGATCCTCGCATTAGCGATTCTTATAAGTGATGAGCTTGGAAACTATACCCTCTTTTGTAATATGAAGGATGTATTAAGCCAACCACTTAAAATGTCATGAGGACACAGCTTTTTCTAAATGGTTTATTCAGTTTTGTTGAGATAACGGCAGCTACGGTGTTAAGGTTTCAATAAAAGAAGGCAGAAAGCTTGATATAGTCGCCGTCGACATCGTAGATGACAAGTAAAGTAAACTATATGAGCACTTGATAGTTTAGGCGGACTGCCTTCGTTAATAGCTCTTGTCGTTCAGAGATCGTTAGCTTTTACTAGATTATCAGGATTGGTTTGAATGCGGCTTCAATGCTTGCCTGCCGCCCACATGAAAATATTAAAAAAAAATTAATATTAAAATAAATAGCTTTTATGAATATTATATAAAAATGACTGGACAATGCTGAATTCAAATTTCTTATCAATCGATTAAGAGATTTATAGCCACAGAAAGTATAAATCTTGTCAAATTTACTCTCATTAGCCAACTGGAACGTATTTATAGCGAACGCTGTGTGGAATTGGTTTTTGGATTTTGTTCGTGTCCTACTTGTCCACGCCAGGCAACAATACTGCGTGACTAACTGCTCAATTGGGACAGTACTCGACGATAGCAGAGGTTTAATCATAGACGAAAGTATCCATTCAAAGTATACTTAGTATATAATGTATAATATCTAATAATATATGCCACTGAAAACAACGTCATTCATGGCGAACGGTAGCAGACACTCTGAATATCTCCAAAGAATGTGTTTGGCACATGTTGAAACCAGATATAGTGACGAGAAAGCTGACCACACATTGGTTGACGCATTTGCTCAAATTGAAACAAAAGCATTGTGTGCACTGTGCACGGTGTTACAAGACGGTGGACGGTACAATGGCAAAACTGCAAAAAAATGAAATTCAATTTGCTGCCGCCCCAAAAGAAAAGATTTCGACGACGACATAATAAGGTAGTTGTGAAAACTCCAAGTGTTAGATAACTGCCGAGCTGATTAGAAATCTTCGAATGGGATTACGTCGATGAAGAAATCGAATTTTGCAAAACAAAGTATTTTCTTACTTAAGCGGGTATCCTTTCAGATAACTGTTAGGTTGTGTATCAAGTTTAAGAACAACTGTCTGCTCAAAGATTTGAGGCTGCTGCATAGATATTACTCTTAAAAAAAATTGCGGCAGAATGTACAAGTACTCAGCCGATTTCATAATTATTAGTATGAAAATCTTTATCACACACTGCCAAATTTTCGATGGAAGCAAAGCGGTCTCATATTTACTCAAGCGTTGTCTCGACGCAATAGCACTTGTTCTGTTTGAAACCATTTTATTCACTTAGTTATTAGTGTTTTAGGAACGCTAGCAGGTTAGGTGAGACATTAGGGCGTATCTTACACGCAGGCAAATTTCGGTCTGATACATTTGCTCTTTGTAAGACTCAGATAAGTGAAAACAGTGATGCACATAATGTCAACTTAAACGTCGTATCACAGGGAGCATTGTGATATATACCCGCAACGATGTAATGTTCCAGTTTCAGCAACAGCATGTTATTCTCAATTCCAAACTTACCTCACCAACTCACAAGGTTATGGCTTCAAGCCTTCATCGATGGGTTGCAACAAAATACGTTAGAAATTTTTCTTCCTCTCATCCAATAATTCCTAATCGAAATCCAGGTCCGCACACTTTCGGTACCAGCAGTTTGAGCCGCTGTAACACTCCTGAATCTTTTTCGTACACTAACCTTCGCCACATTTCTTCTTTAGCCCCGAAACGTTATATTTTCATATACGATAAAGCAAGTTGGGCAGAACTCAATAACTTATTCAAGCATTTTAACTAGAAACCATTCGTTCTTAATAAAAATACCGATGCGGTTGCAGAAATGATATGAAACACCAAATCAAATACGGAATGCGAAACTACGTTTCCCGAATTTGGAATAAGCCCAACGACAAATGCTGGTTTAATCAGACGTGCGGGAATGCAATCAGGTCAATAGAGGAGGCTTTGAAGAACCGGCAATGTTTGATGTTCTGGTCACATGATGTTCATTGGACACAACATGTGTTGGGAGTCCAGAAGTACGTAGTCAATGGCGTGAATAATTTAAGGCGGTGCAAAGTTTATTCCGCTGCAACCAAGTTCTGTGCAATTTCGTATATCCGATCGCACACAGGGAAAGAATTGGGTTCTCATGAGCGAAAGAATGTTGAAAACATTCGATGTCCTCAAGCATCGGCTTAATGTCGGCTATGTTGTGCTTGTGTATAGAAACATCTGAAATAAATGTCCGGCAGACATAAAAGAGATTTGTTTACCAATTAAATGCTTTAACTGGACTACAAGGCTTTCCCAGCATTCCCATCCACTCGCCGTGGAATTACCTGTATACCGTAGGACACACTGACGTGACTCACAAAAATTTACCTGCGAATGTCTTTCCGGGGTTGACATTCCTAAGTCTAATATTCACAAAAACCATTCCCTTCTTCCATCCCTCTCTGTCTATAACTCTTCCTGGTCACCATAATGTTCGCACGTATAGAGAAAATCCCGTGAGTATCGGTTATATAACAACATATATATATATATATATATATATATATATATGTATCCTAACCGAAATTTATCTTCGTGGTGTGGTACGCATTCCTGAATGTCGAAAGCATTTATTAAGCCCAAAAAAAAAAAGAAGAAAAATATATTAATTTTCTAAAAATTTCAGACCACTTGTAGAACATTTGATTGAAAATGTCAGATTAGTTTTACATCGGAAATATCTTGAAGTGGTTGAAGGGAATATTTAAATATGGCATGAGTATCATATCAATTAACTAATAGAAATTCTAGAGATGGTCCCAAATTGAGTTAGAAAAATAGTTAGGGCTCAATCAATTTAAACTTGAATTTGCACTATCAGTATATGGATAACCCATCGTGAACTGAATTTACATTTACTGTTCAAATTTTCTGTTTCAAGATTTTTAGAAACTTCTGATGTAACGCGAAGCAACATTTTTAATTATCTTGAAATGAAAATAATGTGAAACGTGTTTAATGCTTACACATACAGCTTATGAATAAGGTATCGCCATAGACGCTAGCAAAATCCATCTATGTGGTAATAGTTGCAGTGGTGGGCCATATTCAAATTTTTACGTACATATCTATCTATCTATGCAATGAAATACTTGAAAACTTGACATGGAAATACATTTGCGCCTTTCGTATTAGATATGAAATGACCTAAATTTTTACACTTCAAAAAGAAATACGTTCACATGTATATGGAAATAAACACATTGTGATAATAATGACACTCACAAACACGCTCGCATATAATATGTATGAATATGTCATTAGCAGTTTTTTCAATTCATTCGTTCATTCCTTCCTATGTTTTTATTTTTTTTTATTTTTATTTTTTATTTTATATGGATATATATACATGGATTTTGTTTTTTTTTTTTTTTTAATAGTCAATTACTCCAACTGTGCAGCTGTCAATCAAAGTTTGAAGAAAACCTTAAAAGCTGATAAAAAAGTATAAATTCTTAAGCCATACTACATATATATATATATATATAAATGAGATATGATGCGTTATAAAAGCATTAAAAATATTGTCTTATTGTTCGTATTGTTTATTTACTTTCGAGAGGAATGAAAAAATTACCCCCAGCTTGGTTTAAAGTTTTCTCAATGTTCATAATACATGTGCACAACTGTGAAAACATATATTGTTCTGCGAATATATTTTAAGCTTTTTATGAAAGACACCAAAAATTTCTTTAAAGAGAAGTGCTTTCCCTATTGCTCAGCATTTTAATATACGCTTAAGGACTTGGAATTCTTAAGGTTATCTGTTTAACCTATAAGTTAATATATCTGAATATATAAACTCATTAGCAAATTAACTAAGAAAATATTGCCTGATTCGTTTGTGTTTCATATATCAAATGATGAGGACCAGAAGCTCTTAACGCATTAGTAGGGTTAACATAAGTGAGCCAAATTCTGACACTAAGGTACGGGACTCTTTCCCCTCTAAAATAAACTTGTTTCCGTAAAAGATATTGGCAAAGCACGGACATCGGAAGTATAAGTAACTGAAAACTTTCCGATATCATTCATTTCGCTTTATATGATATATAGTCCCATGCTAAACCAGCTATGCTACGTAAGATTTCTTAAATTCTTTCGACTACATTTTTCTTAGGTCCAGCACTCTAATAGCACCGTTATCAACTAAATCAATACGAATTCTAGCTAATTTAGCTGTTCGCCTGATTGATTTTAATTATCTGTGTTCTACTGGTGACGATCTTGTGGTGTTCGTGCCTTCGATCTATTTGGGTCTGAACAGATGGGCTCAGTTCGCTTCATAACTGCCTAAGGGATTGTTCCATTTGTTCAACATTTCGAACGTCTCTTTCTCGTCATAGTGTTCCTTAAAAATTTTACTCCTGATTGACTTCTATTAATAGCTTAAAGGCTTTTCCTATTCCGCTTTCAGTTTATTTACGGATGAAATTCATCTGGCATACAAAAGACAATGTATAAATAAACAAGTGGGTAAAAAAAGGGTAAAAGAAGAAAAAACAACATTCACGTATGTAGGACAGAGGCACAATCGCGGCTGGTATAGATACGAAATACCAACGGGCCGTTCGACAACGACGCAAATATCCAAAAGCTCGGCACTCCGTAACAACGTACGCATCATAAAAGTGGGACAAACCGTGTTCGATAGTTAGATAGAAAAGTGCAGCGACCTGATTCGCTATCGCATGCTCATGTTCCGATTTAATGGATTGTAAAGGTATTTTTTCAATTCTTATTCATTACACTAGATTCTTGGCCCTTGTTCTTTTAGTTCATCGATTAATATGCATTTAATTCTACTGCGCATACGCGCAATTTTAAAGAAGTCTTGTACTCTTATACGTAATACACATAGATGATAATAAGAACAAAGTTAATAAGTGATTAAATAAATATTTCTAAAAACGATTAAAATTAATAAATGGAATTGAAGTTACTTTGAACCCTGATGGGTAATGGTACTCCCATTATAATGAAAGAACGGGAATGGATGGGAAAGAACGAATTTCCTTCTGAACTCATTATTTGAATAATCCGTTATATTTATTTTCTTTTTGAAAAGCAAAATATTCCTTCATAGACGCATAGATTGGCAAGCGTATGCATAGTCAATAGGCGTAGATTAAAGAGATTAAATAAAAAAATTTTCGCAGTATGATTAGCTGAATCTTAGGTACGAACTGTCACTTATAGCCCGTTGCGAATTAATTTAATATTCATTCGAAACTTAGTGCAAAAATTTAATAATAAAATCTTTTAAAACTACAACACGAAATAGTTAACTGTATTTTTTTCACATCCAACTTTATACTTAAGTCGCATAGTCGTTACATATTTTGACGGTTGATAGAGTAATTGATATAGAACGCCAATGCCAAACCCGCTTTGAAGAGTTTCTTTCCGAAAATTTTTTAGGTTCAGCATGCGCTACTTTCTGCAAGGCTGGTCGGAGCTGATGGCGGCAAAATAAAGATATCCGTTGATCGCTGAAAAGTTAAATTTATTGCTTGCGACCGTTCATGATAATGTGAAACGTCACTATAAGAAAATCGTCCTTTATTTTGACTAAAAAGAAATAGAAATTACTTTGCGAGCAACACAATACACTGCTACTGTTGACGTAGCTACCGCTAAACTTTTCAGATTTTTTACAAAATCCCTGTGCTACTGATGTATCCAAGGTTGTAAAAGACATACTTTTGAATTAAGTTTACAGGTAGAAAATTTATCCGAACGAACTGGTAAGTTCAGCTAACACATCTACAAATAAAAAGTACACTTGACAATATTAGTTAGCGTGTCTGCCCGTTTGTGTGTCTTGTATTCTCGTTCAACGGCCAGGACGCAATTAAATGGAGATATTTTGATGAAATTGGGTACACTAACGTGTTTTGATCCAAGGGCGAACTCTCTTAAAAATAGTTGGGATCAGTTCACTCGCTATATAACGCCTTCTATCGCTTTATGGAGAAAAATTTGAGATTTTCAATAATATTTGACCAAACTTGCTGTGTAATACTACTCCGATATTCTAAATTGATGTAAAAAACTTGGTTCGGCTACGTCAGTTTTTTTAAACCCACCCTACGAAAATGGTATCTTCATACGGTAACAAGATTGAATTTTTAATATTTCATAGTGGAAACTAGTTCATAATAGTATATTGACGACTTAACAAAATTTGGACCACGTGTGTCTATTGTTTAGATGCCATCGCCTGTAAGGATTCTCATGATTCTCTGCGGTGAAAATTTGTTCACATTAATAATTTGGCTTAAAAATGGCGTGAACCAAATTTCAACTATATGGGTCTATTTCTTGGATCCCGTACCATACAAGATTTGTCATGAATAGCAGGCCCTTCAGAAGCAAAATAACCAAACACATAACAGAATGAAATTTGGAGTACGTAGGTTTTTTTTGTTAGATCTCAACATATATGGGGATTATCATGATAAAAAAAAAATCTCTTACATGGAGAGAAACTGAAAACTAATAAAATTTTTAGAAAGTAAATTAAGTTTACTAAATTTGGATGACGTCGTATGATGTTTTGGGCATGCTCCGATATGCGGGTTTCCATGACATGCACGCCTTTGCACAAAAATAATGTCCGATCTTTTATGTAGAATAATCAAAATGTAAAATAATTGTACGAGGCCCGACTATAATGCTCTTACATGTGTTAGTAGCGATCATATCAATCCGATTAGCAGGAGATAAAACTATTTTTAAGCTTAAGTTTTGACTTGCGGTACAGGTCGAACAATAAATTGGCTAAGGCAAGCTGTGTGAGCTACGTACAAATACGCCTTAAATTAACGAACATTTGAATTCGGGAACTTGGTTAAGTTGCGAATGATGTACCCATTTTAATATTATTAAGCAAACTTTTTTGAATCTTTCGAGGAGTTTAACATTCTTTTAACAGTTATTTAGTGCATAAGTGTTAATTATTTTTGAATATTTCCAAACAATCGGCGCACCATGTCGGGCTGTTCGATTATTGTCGTCTTGTGATCTTTCAATTTTTTTGACACTTTTATTATGCGATAAGTATTCAGTGACTATCGACACAACCACAAACTGTAAATATACATGTGAAGCTTACAAAATGAATGCGGTTTTCATATCTACTACCAAAAAAAAAAAAAAAAAAAAAAAAGTTTATTCGTTTTGGTAATGCATAGGAATAAATATCGAGCTCTTGATAGATTATAAATATCTGAACTAGTTAAGTTAACCATCTGTCTGTTGTGATGTACAGCAATAATATAAAATTCTTTATGATTATTTTACTAATCTTAAGTGAACAATGAATAAATCAAATGATATCTAGATCCATTTAAGAAGGGAAGTTAAACAATATTACGATTTGTATATTAATTGTCATTAAAAGCCTGTCGTTTGCGACAAGTGTAATATATAGCAGCATCTCTATAAGCTATAGATGAATGTGTTCAATGGAGAGCAATTGAATAAATGAATAAATGAACTGTACTCTTAAGATCGATAAGTCTAAAAATCATTTGTCTGCAATCCGTACCAATGAGAAAACAAAGCACATAACGATATATATAGACGGGCAATGCCTTCATTCCTCTGCCTCTCTCTCTCTCTCTCTCTCTATCTTTCTGTGAATGACACACTTATAAATCTTTACCAAAACGGATAGATCAAATGATCGGTGTTAAAAATTCGTTTCATACTCTTAATATATATTTAATATTTTTTATTCTGCTCTTGATTTCATTTTGCCTAATAAAGAATTATAAAACGGATAAATCATTTTCTGCTTTATTTTGTTGCTAATATTTTATTTTATAGGTTTACATTTTAAGAAAAGAAAACATGAAAGATAAGCAAGCAGTTAATAAATATTGAAATTTGATATTTTGGTTTAATATTTGGGTTTAATAGAAGGCAAATGAAATTTCTTAGTCTTTCCGAACGCAGACAAAAAATGAAATATGAAAGGAAAACACAAAAAAAAAAAAACATAAACCCAATCAATTTAAAAGTACAACATAATGATAAAGATCAAGTTTTAAGTGGGTTCACAAAAAAAAAAAAAAAAAAAAAAAAAAAAAGGGAGAAAAAGGAAAAAAAAGAGGAAAAAAAAAACGCTGAAAGATGTAAAAATCCATTAAAAATATAAAGATAAGTTATGGTTCCCTTACAGTACGCGCATACATGTTTGTGTGTGTGTGTGTGAAAGTGTAAACAAGTACATTAATATTTACGTATATATATAGATATATATATATATATATATATATATATGCTTATAGCAAAGTACCTACATATATATATCTACGTAACGTAACGCTGTCTCGGAGTCCTAACTTGGATTTTTTCTTCTTCTTTAGAGCGCTCATCAGGCAAGATCTTCAATTTTTGTACACACCATCAGAAGGCACTAATTTTGTGATTCCGTTTGCAACACATCCATAATTAACAATAGGAGAATTCGTAGTGGCTGCGTAGCTCTAAATTACGTGCGCGCGCGTGCGCGTATGTGTGTGTGTGTGTATGTGTATGTCAGTCAATTCACTTTCCATATTTTATTATTATTACTACTTAAAATCAAAAGTTATTAATTGACTTGAACAATAGTTTGCTCATTACCCTTGCTCGTTCGCCTTAACAACAACAACAACAACAACAACAACAAACGAAAAAAACAAGTCCCACACATTCAAGAAAGGCATGCAAAAATAAGAAACTGAAATCGATGATTTCAAGGACTTTGGCGTTCCGAATGCTATATATATATATATATATGTATATATCATACTTGTATTATGTTAATCGGTTTGCTACTTTTTTACTTACGAATTTAGGTGATGGGTATCTAAGATTCGTTCTAAGGCAAACAAAGTCTTTCCAGTCTTTTTTTATTTATTTATTTTGTTTTTTATTTTTTATTTTTTTTGTTTGTTTTTATTTTTCTTGCTTCAATACAAAGAGGAAAAAACAAAACTTTTGTGTTCAAGAAATGATAATGTGAATGTTTTGTTGCTTATGTGTGCATAAGTATTATAGGCTATGCTTATGCCACGATCACGGCCAGACAGAGTGGCGACGCCTGTGAATTTTTTTGTCGTTATGGTTGTTGTTGATGTGTTGTTGATTCTCTTGTGTTTTCTTTTTTTTTTTTTTTTGCTTCTTTTCTTACTTTATTTCTCCCCAACACTATCATGATCATGATCATATTTAAGCATCTTTGTATGTGTATGTTTGTGTACAACTGCTTAAAGTAAATCCATGTTATATATGTATTATGTGTATGCACATATAGATTTTTGTTTTTTGCTATAAGTAAACTACAGAAACAAGTACTGCATACGAAAAAAATGAAAATAACAATAATAATAAAAAGAAATGAAAAGAACTACAAAAACCATAAAATGCATTTTTAAGGCATTGAACTCACTTTATGGAAAGAAATGTTAGCGCAAAACGAAAATCAAAAACAACATCAGCTAATTCCTTTCGGACGACAATGCAAAATAAGCCTGCATAAGACGACGACTATGCACGACGGCTATGTAAGACGAGTGCTGCGCATGCGACTTAAGTGCATATTCTTTTCTTGTTTGATTCTTTCTCTTCTCTTTATTTTTAGAAAATTAAGGCGCTACCTCCGGTTGCGAGCTCTGTCGATTGTCTGTCAAATTCAGCTTCAGAT